ATATGTAAAATAGAATGAAGTTAGTGGAAGATTAGATGTCCCACCCTATTTTGCATGTTATTTACAACAGCATCGTTAGAGATGTACCAGCCTATTTTCCATCTTTTTCAAATTTTGGCCTTAAATCGAGCAATATATTTTAATTTTCAAAGTCATGAAACAAATGACTATTGTCTTAAGTAAAATGCTCAAAAGCATTTCATTATACTTTTCATTACACTTTTTGAAGGAATATTGTAAGTGACTTGCGAAGGACTCGTCATTAAATTACCATATTTGTTGATTCGAAATGGCGTTTCTAGAATCTAAAGAACTGGTTTACGATTGTGTAACTTCTTTCGAATTTAAACTAGTTTTATTTTTAATACATGAACCAACGTGTTTTAACTATAAAGTTTCTTTTTTATTTCGAATGAACACAAATCTGCTTCGAATTAGTTGCAGCTGTCTTCGACTGAATATAAAAGCATGAACAGATAAGCATGAATATTTAAACACAGTTCATCGTTATTAATGGTCCATTTTTTGTTTTGTTGATAATATAAAGCAATTTCTAAATGAATGTTCATATACTGGCTGTTCGTAGTTGATAATAAGTTTAAGAGTAGAAAGGGCGTTTCTATCTATCATCACCATATATTTGAGATGTAATGTCTATTCTAACATCTGTGCACTTATCTTTCTTTCTTCTTGTTTCCTCTCTACTTTGCTCATGATCAGTTCAGTTTAGTTAGTAGAGTAATAGACTGATTTAATGAACTATCGTCTAAACAAATAATGGGAAAAAAATTAAAAATTTTTTCTTAGATGTCAACTTATATCCTGCGCTTCCGATCTAGTTTTAAATATACATGCGCTACGAAGTAGAAGAACATTGTTGAAAGTCGATATGTATTTGATTGAACAAATATTTTACTGAAAACTTTTGATGTCAGTTTATCGTTGTTGACCTGTTTTTTGCCTATTTTTCCTTTTTATAATCGTCTTCCAATCTACCGACACGTGCACTAATTTCACTGTATATATAATAATAAACTTGGTTATTTTATTTCGTTCTCTCTTTGTTAAATTCCTTTTGATTACTGGTTTTTGTATTGAAAGGAATAAACGTATGTAAAAAGAAATACATATACAAATATTGATTTGAATACGTGGTCTAAAGATATGTTTGTAATCTCATTGATAAACAAAAAGCATGTAGAACCGTGGAATTTTGTTTTTTTCCTATAAATACATGTGCAACAACGACGCAAAAAAACAGAAACAAATAATGACGTTTCGATTTAGATGTTCACCATTCGGTCTTCAACAATCATATCAACATCATCGACATCAAATGTTAGCACCAGCACTTAATCGTAGTTATTCACTAGATCTACCAAGTTATACTAATTACAATAATAATAATAACAACAACGTGTTCTATCGCCCGTCGCCTAATATTATACAAACAAATAGTCACCAGTTATCAGATTCACAAAATCAACAATTACCCACAATGGGTGTCATTAGACAAACAACACATTCAAATGATCAACAACGACAGCAAATTCAACAACAAAGAGATCATCCTAAAATAAAAGTTCGTATTAGAGTGTAATTTTATAAATCTTTTTATAGAGCTAAGCTCTTGGACCATAAATATTTGATCAATTTTCAAAGCAAAATTTCTCTAGTCCATTCAGTTTCTAAAACTTCATTTTACAATTAACACACTTCAGAATTTAATTTGTCACTTCAGAACATTAACATTTCAGAATTTAATTATCTACAAAACTGTATATTTGGTTTCAACACCAGATGAGATGCGTCAATGTAATATTTAAGTCATGGAGTGACTTAGTACTCAAAACTTCAAATTTTTGTGAAATTTTTCCCACGAAGAAATGAGGTCTGTAATCAAATACCTTATCAGTTAGGTAAAAAACTATAATATAACTAATATTTTTTCTTCAAATTTCGAATTTAAAATCATAAACTTGATACAAAAGTATGAAGAATTTCCTGCTCTATCGAATCAGGATACTTTTCACGTCAAATGGTAGTGTGTATGACGCGAAAAAAACATGTGGTCAGCATGGATCACAAAACACTATACGTCACAAATAAGCAAATAATCACCATTTTTTTATGCACTTTTCTCAACTTTCCATTTAAAATGAAAAGATGCCCAATTGTTCTTCTTGTACTTAGTTTTATCTCATAACACCTTTATTACAGAACACTATCTTTGAATACATTGAAAGATGGAAAAGTTTTGAACACTAAGACAATCTATATTTTAAATGCTACACAAAAGAATCTCAATCAGTGTCGCAAGCAAATATACATTTTCGTAGAGAGTCAAAAATTCTGCAGTTTTTCAATTATAAATGATTCATAAACTGGATAGGTTAGAAAAATTTATCGTTGAAAAAGAAATCAGTTATTTCTGACTCATTCAATGCCATAGTATTTCATCACTCTTTTACTTTTTCTTCTAGAGCGCAAATACTAATCAACAACTTTGCCAGAAATTATCGACGCGATCGTCTTGTTCGGTGTTTGGTGATTATGACAATACTAGTGAACAACAAATTCAGAATAGTGAAATTATTCATTCTAGAGATGTAAATATAAATGAAAAAAATGTATAAAAGGTAAAACATTTTTATTCTTTCCTTATTTTAGCTTGTTTGCCGTTCATCATCTTATGCGATGATTTATACACCACCAGGAAATGATGATTATCTAATTGAAGGCGATTACTCAAATGATTCATCTCATTGGTCAATGCTGACCAAGATATCACCGGCTGATTATGAAATTGATTGTGATAATGTATCGCAAATATATAATAATGATTTTTATGAACAGGTTTGATATTCATGTATCTGTTTTCTATGATTAACTACTATTCTATGATTATTTCTTCTAGTTTCATCTTAATTTATATGCAATCGATGAAGATTTAAATCCAATTGTTATGTCAGTTAAACGGAATGAAGAACCTAGTAGTGTATCTATAATTGTTCGGTAAGGCATAACAATCATTGAGTAGAAAAGAGTGATTTTGTATTTTTTCTTTATTTTTAGAACTAAAGAAAGTTCAAAATATGCTAAATTATTGGAGAATAATTCGGATGATTTAGATTATAGCTCATATTGCGAACAAATATATCCAAATATCAAAACGGATCATTTTCAAATATCTTCAAGTCTCAGTGTAAGAACAAACTAATTATTCAATATTAATAATTAAAATAATATTCTATTTCAGGCTGCCCAATATGTCAAAGGATATGATGAGAAATTAGAAACACGAAAATTCAAATTTGGAGTTATTTATCAAAGACGAGGACAAGTAGACGTTTAATTTTCTCGTTATTTTTAATTTTATTTAATGATTTGAATTTTTTTAGACCACCGAAGAAGAATTTTTTAATAATGAGAAACATGGTCCAGCATTAGACGAGTTTTTAGATATAATTGCAACACGAGTGTTTTTAAAAGATTTTAAAGGGTAACCACTATTCTCTTTATAGGTGGCGGAACCACTAGCTGGGTAAGACTCAAGCCGTACCTAAGAACAGAGAATAAAATAGGCGATAACCGTTGTAGGAAATATAGTTAACTACATTTTTATTAACTAAACCGAGTCCAGCCCATTTAGCTTTCTTGCTTCTAGCAGATGCTTTTAAAGAAAAATGAGATTTATCCTCTAGAAAACAGCTCAAAAAGAGTGATCGGAAACGCGCCAAAGTCTGTTTGCCGCCTGACAGCGTGCAAGAAACGTTTCTAAACCTTATCCTGGCCGTTCACTATAATCGGACAGACTCGATTCCTAAAAGCTTAGGGTAAATTTTACATCTGACCTTTTTCAATTTATAAAAAGGTTGAGACTGAGCCTCACCTAATGCTTTTTCCTAGTTACGCCACTAATTTTTCTAGAGACAGCGTGTTTAAATTCCGACCTTTTTTGAAGCAAAGAGCACAAAAGGCGCCTTTTAGGCTGAGAAATTTTATTTCTTCTACTAGAAACTATTATCACATACACATCTGCTTTTTATTAATAACCAAAAACATGAGAAAAAATTCATTTCGTAGAGGAATGCCTTAAATTGAGCCTTACGCCATGTGAAATAGTTCCGCCGCCTCTGATTCTCTTAATCTATTAATTATGTTACATCTCTATGGTTCGTTTCAGATTTCGTGCTGGTCTTGATACTAGTGGTAAAACTGATACACCTACATCTTATTATGAGTTGTACGAAAATAAAGAGATAATGTTTCATGTATCGACATTGCTTCCATTTACCAGCACGGATCGACAGCAAGTACAACGTAAACGACATATTGGAAATGATATTGTTACCATTATATTTCAAGAAGAAAGTACACCATTTCATCCGTCGATGATATGTTCAAATTTTTTACATGCATTTCTCGTTGTACAACCTGTTTATAATGCGTCAAAAACATGCTATAAAGTAAGTTCATATGGGATCTTTATGATTTTCGTCTCTTTCATTTTCACTGAAAATAATCTTGTGAACGCAATTAAACTAATTCGACCAAAGTGAGTATTATTGCAGAGTAGAGAGAAATGTTGTTCTTCTATATTTATTTTTGCATTTTCAAAGAGGCAACAGAGCGAGTTAGAAGCTGAGGAGACAAATTTTTTTAACTGAAAAATAAATTGAAGGTAATTTTCTGGTATTTACCCGTAGAATTTTTTACGTTCACATGAATATTAAAAGTAAGTGCGAGTAATTAGAAATGAATCGAGGTTAACCCTCGTTTCTTCGTTCATTAAATATACGTTTGTGCATATCACCGGATTAAAAAAAATAAAGTGGATTTTGAGTTGCTGAAAGGGGCTCTTTCGTATCCAGCACGCTCGATAATCCAAAAGATTTGCTATTTTTAGCGAGAAGTACTTCCAAAAATTTAGGAAAATTTTTGAAACTAATATTATTTTCCCATGGAAACGTTTTGCGCGATTTTGTTGTGAAAATTTTCCTAAACTTTTGAAGTACCCCTTGCCAAAAATAGCAAATCTTCTGGGTTATCGAGTATGCTGAACACGAAAAAGCACTTTTCAGCAACTCAAAAACTAACTTTATTTTTCTTATTCCGGTAATATGCCCAATAAACAGAGAAAAAGGAGCCAAAGATAGGATCGAAAGAGATACGAGGCGATTATAAGACAAATTCACATAAACAAATCGTTAAAAGTGTGAGGATCGTTAATCATCCCAAGCTTTTTTACATTCTGAAATCTGTGGGGTGTCGTTTCTACGGCCTCTGTAGTTTCACCACCTCTGCATTTTCATTCAATTTGCTATCGATTCTTGTGTTAGGGAAAAAACGTTACGCTACTTATCATTTAAATCAATTTTTGTTCCGTACATTCCATTTTTCTTAATTCATAGATCACGCTTGTTACGCGTCGTGGTATAGAACCATTCAATCCTATATTACAAAATAATTGCGTTTATCCCAAATCAGCCGACTATTTAAAATCATTTATTCTCACAAAATTGATAAATGCCGAATATGCATGTTATCGTTGTCGTACATTTTCATTATTACAAGAACGTACACGTTGTTCGTATTTAAAAACGCTCTGTGAAAATTTAACAACAAAATCGTATGATATGTTATGCGATGAATACAAATCATCTCAACGACGTTCATCTGTGTTATCAAATTCGGTGAAAAAACGATATTTTTCTTCAATGAGAAAAATATTTGGTAGAAGTCATAGTACGCCAGATGGAAGAATATCAACGTCAGCTACATCTTCTAAACCTTTGACAAGTACACTAAGTAATGAATCAGAAACAAATGAAAAAGTAAAGAAATACAAGACAACACAATTTTTTACATAAATATTGTCAACGACTGTCTATTGTAGGATCGTCGGAAAAACAGTAAAAAACTTTCACGAACACCAACTCATACTGAATTGCCTGATGAAATAACGATACCTGAACCATTACGTTCGCCTATTAGTGTGTCAGAGTAAGCACAACAGTTTTAGAAATTTGAGAAATACGATAGTTTAAAATTGTTCCCCTTTTTATAGTGAACAAGATCTGACAAATAAGAAAAATTCAGTTAATCGGTAAGTTATTACTTTTTTTACTCTTTTTTCTACTAATCTAATAAGAGTTTGAATTTAGAAAATTAACTAGACTTAGTGATGAAAGTTTAACTAGTAGTGATACACCATATGATCATCGCCCACAAATGTACTATGAAGAAGAATCGGATGAAGGTCTCGATAGTATGTCATCTGCTGAAACGCATATTTCGCAGTCATATTCTTCTCGAGATAATACTGATCAGTACGACGATTTAAATTGTAAGAAAAAATATTGGTATGAACAAATATTTTTATTGTTATAGCCACCTTCATTATTTTTTTAGTATATCGACAACAACTACGTCTAGCTGAAAAAAAGAATGATGCATACATCAGACCACTTGTGGTAAATATTATAATATTTTTTCTTTTTAAAATACAATAAATCTGTGTATTGTTTAGTATAATTCATGGCATCGTACAAAATCGTCGCCACAAACGACAGGCATTCATATAAGTGAAGAAGCAGCTACTGTTTGATATTATGTGATTTTATTTTTTTCGTTTTGCTCAAAATCTTCTTTTTATAAAATTTTTATTTCTAATTTCTCATATAACGACGATACATACGTGTTGATTTATCTTAAAATCTTCGTCGTCAAAGTATTTATTATTTCCCTATCTCTGTTTGTTTAAAAAAAAGAAATCAAGTTAGGATATATATATACATATATATACATATATATACAGATTTTTTTCCTCATTTCTTTAACTGCATTTTTAAAAAATGAATATCATTATTTTATTTGTATTTTTTTTTTTTTTGTTCATCAACGACAGTTTTCAAAAAATATAGAAGAAATTATTTTTTCGTACGAATGTTTTTATTTTGTTTGTTAGATGTACATAAGAACTACACTCATAAATTAGAAAATTTTTATTTACAAATCCATTTATTATATCTTTGGTACAACAACTTCTCATGCTGATGTTAAGTTTGCGTTTATAGCATGTTTTGTTTTTTTTCTATTCTAAAATGATAATTATTTGTTATAACGTCAGTTGATCAGCAGTAGTCTAGTTCCATATTTCGGTGATTGATTACAGTTAAAACCAATCAAAACTTTTGTTTTTGTTAAATACTGTAATATTATAATACACTGGAAGTAAAACATGACAAAACGTTATCGTCCTCCTCGTCTTCATCTGTTTCTACTACTGTTGGTGGTCGTCTGGCTACCGTTGGTGGAGTGTCTGGTTGTTCCTCTGCTTCATGAAGAGTATTTTTTAATGTTTCCCGTTTTTCTTTTAAATCACTTAATTGCTTAGTAATACTTTCGACAGCTAATTCATCTGCTTTCTTGAATGAATACTTATGATTTTCTGAATATGTTCTATTACCAAAATAGATTTGCCACAATTTTTCTCTCCGTTTTGTATCTTTCAATTCATTTAATATATCATTACGATTTTGTTCTTCATGAATATCGTCCATGGTACGATAGACGCTAACCGATTTATGTGGTTTTTCTCTTCCAGGCTGAGGCTTAATGTCATCTAGTAATGTAAGACCGAAACCGATTGCATACCAAATAATTACTACTACAATATATAGTACAGCACCTTTTTCATCATAAACAGTGTTACCGGTCACCACATTATCTGTTTTATTTGAATAAGAACTATTCAAGTTCATAATTAAAATCGGTTCTTACGTAATAAAAGCTGAAAATTTTTCTAATCGTCTTGTGACTAGAAAAATATAAGTCAAACAGAAATTATAGCTTTAGCTTTGTTGTGTACTTTTTGCAGCTTCAAATGTTATGCATCAGTGAGTCGCTAATTTTTCTTCAATATCGTGGTTATTGTTGTTTTCAAAAATCTTAGCTTATTTAGTGGCGGCACAACTGCGGGGCAATAAGAGGCAATTGCCCTTCAATAAAAATTTGTCCGTTCTGCACTGAGTAGAGAAGAACGATTTAAAAAAAGAAGTAACACTTGCTTGTCATCAAGAAAAAAAATATATATCTGCTGTTCAGTGCCATCTTTTAACATTCATTTTCCTGTACTTCTACGATTTATGTGGTTTTTCTCTTCCAGGCTGAGGCTTAATGTCATCTAGTAATGTAAGACCGAAACCGATTGCATACCAAATAATTACTACTACAATATATAGTACAGCACCTTTTTCATCATAAACA